ACGAAGTCCTTCATTAAGGTTAGGGGACCTCGTCATCATGGCTACAATAAGAAATGAAGTTAAGTTTATAGCACTATCGCGGTTAAAAGAAAAACCACTGACTGTCAATTTGAAATGGGACCTGGCTCACTCGTGATCGTGGCGAAATGACAGCAGCCAGTAGAGGATTGTGTCACTTGAATGTAAATGTGTTTATAATCTTTGTGGTCTAGTTTCATATTTAGGTGAGAAATGTGTGTTGTCAATCTTCTAAGGTAACTCTCTGAAAGAAAGCAGACACACAAGTGTCAAAATATTACTTTAAAAAGTGGGTTTCACTCACCATAGCACAGAGGTTCCAGTGGTGACGTGTATGGGTGGTGGGGGCCTCAAAAATATTTGTACCCAGAAAATTCTGAGAACCCCAACATCTCATTCCAAAATAAATGTTATTATTAATCCTGGTAATTCACAGGGACTATTTCCTCCTTAGCAAGGAAAACAGAATTCAGACTAACTTTGCTGTTGATTTTTAATGTAATTCTTTAATGGTTTTGACTACCACAAACAAATTTCTATTCTCAGTTTTATTTTGGCATTTGAGCAGCCGGAATCTGAGACCGACCTCTCAAAACCTGAACAAATAAAACTCTAAATATCTGTATTGCTGACTAGTGGTGAATGAGAAAAATGGTTGTTGGGCATTTGGATAAATTGGTGGTTTGAATACCAAACTTAAAGTTGCAGCTCAGTCAGACCAATCAGGCTGAATTTCATGTTTGTTTTGACAGTAAAAGCTTTGAGATGAGCCATACTGATGGTTACAGTATCTGTAAGACTGAAACTGTTAAGAGGTCCCAGAAAAGAAACACTGCACAAACGTAAAGATTTCATTCTTGTTGAATGCTTGCGTTGCCACAATAATAAAAAAAAGTCAATAATGGGAAAGTGGAAACTGCGGCATCACTTGCTTCTGGCCTCAGAAAGCAAAGACCCTTCAGTCGGTGTGTGTGTCTACCTTTTTCATTACTATGGCAGCAAACGAAACACCAGGTGTATATGTCTTAATTTTTGAATGGACAACCTCAGCTCAACACTGCATCTCCTCACATCTAATGATTCTCCTACACTTTGTTAACCCCTCCACACATACTGTACCTCCTCTCGTACATTCACTGTGACCCTGGCTATTGGTGGGACTTTTTAGAAGGAACAGTTATGAAGTTATGAATGGCAAACTCATTAGGAGTGAGCAGCGTCTGTGATTTTGTGGCGAGGTGGGAGAGTGCTCTTGTGAAAGTGGAGCACATTGCAGGTGCAAGAGTGCAAGTATTTTCTATAACAGCTTTCCAGGTGTCATTTGACCTCAGGGTTCACCTGCTTATGCTTCTTATTCCAAACTAGACATGCATGTACATGTGTGTGTGGGTTCGTAAATTTTTGAATGTGCTTGTGTACCACATATCCTGTATCCCTCAAACACAGATGTATACACACAAACTGTTTTATCCAATAGACATGAATGAAATAATGACCCTCAGGCCCTGTCCTCATTTTTCACATGCTTAATACGTTCTAATGTCTAACTCAATCATACTTTGCCCGTCTGTCTGTTTGTCTTTCCGCTTCATATTCACAAACAGCATAGAAAATGCTGCATTATTGTTCCGGTTTCCCCTGGTAACATGTGGAATCCAAGCTTACCTCACCACTTAGCTGCTTAACAGCTTCCCAAACTGTTTACGTTTGGATGTCAGTCATGCATCTTTTGTGCTTGAAGGAATCTTGATTTAATCAGGAATATCTGGTTTTCCCTTTGGTCATAAATTTCCTAAGAGAGAATGATGTCTGGACAAAGGAGCAGGTCCCTTCCTACGTAATCCACAGCCTTATTGGAAACAGGGTGCAAGTGATTGAAGTGTGTCCAGGCTTGTGTCAGTGGAGTCCACCACAGACAGCTGATAAAACTAACTCCATAAGGAGAGATTTTGGTTTGTTTCCTACCTGGGAAAATACTCTCACGTGCAACAGTCTGAATGTGATTTCAGCCTTTATCTTTTAATGGCGCTTTTTCCAACTTGGAGTGCCTGGAGGTTGTATTAGTTTCCCCTCTCATTATTTACATCATATACCTCAGATTATAGCACTTGTTTGCTATAATATAATATAATAGTATGGTAATATAAAATACTCAGATGATACGGCCGTACTGTCTTTACTGACTGATGATGAGGACCCCAGTATGTACCAGGCTAAAAGGTTAATTGAATGGTGTGATAAACACTCTCTTATTATTAACACAAAAAAGACAGAGAAAATTGTTTTTGGTCTTCCATCAGACAGCCAGCTTCCTTCTGTAATAATTCATATTGATGTACAGTAATTCAACAAGTTTCCTGTTACAAATACTTGGGGGTCATGATCAATGCTGGTCTGTCATGGGCTCCTCGCATTGGCAAATAGTATCTCCTTTGATTCCTCATGTCTTAAATAGCAAAAACCAAGTTTTGCCCTCCAACAGGTGATTTAGAGTTCCTTGTTTTAGAAAGAGCAGGCTGGAAAGCTCTTTTGTTCATTAGTCTATATTATTGTTAAATCAAAGTCAAGGTGTGGCTGTATCCAGAGACCATGATAATTACTTAAGTGAGGCTTGTAGAAGCAGTTTACTATTTGCTGTTATCGTTTGTTAATGTGTTGTTGTGATTGTTTGGCCTTGCATTGGAGCTGCCTTGTGTTGCAAGACAAATTTCAGCGTCGATCTGATAATAAAGTGTTATTGTATCATATCATGTCTCAAGGCTTGTCACCAGGGTGGCACGAAAGCAGTCACATAGATTAGATAGTGTTTAAGTACATCCTATGATGTAGTCCTCTGGGGGGGCTGTGACCATGTGCAAACTGCAGCATGAGAGACCTGAGTGGCAATTAACATGGGACCACACCTGCAGACAGCAAGAACTGATGAAGCGATGAAGAGATTTAGTGATGATAGTAAACCAATCTGCTGTAAACCTTGGCAACCATCAAGACCAGTCGTTTATAAGGTGGACTTACAATACTAACAATTCAGTGTGATGCTTAAGGTTAAATAGCAATACATAACAAGAAACTGTTCAGTGAACTCTTTACAGCCTCTTTCATGCCCTGTTAAGTGGAATGGGGCGCACCTGAACTAACATGTTAGCACTGCCTTGGGACTGACAGGACTAAGTATCGTTTCTTGCCTCAGACTCCTTACTAATGTTGATTTACTTTGGTTGATTGAGCTATCCACGCAAGCTCACGGGCATGAAACCATTATTTTGTGTGTTGTTAATCAATTCTGCAATTGTAAATATCTCAAGTCATTGTTTATCATTTCCATGTTCTGCATTCACTGGAGCTTTTTAGCAGCTTTTTCTTTTCACAGAAGCTGAATTCACATTTTATTTTGATGTGTTGGGTAATATTGCTGTCACACCTATATTGCGTTATGTTGGTGTGCAAACCAAATGGAGAGCAAAGGTATGCAAAACAGATGAAGTTAGTATTTTCTTTGTTTCTTTTTCCAGTAAATCTAATGAGGAAGGAAGATGAAGACTGGTTATTGTCCTGAGCCTTTAGCATCTGACCAAATCTTTGTTTATTTATTCAAACATCAATTTAGTTTTTATTTTTCAGAGATTGTTTAAATAAACCTTATACAGAAAAAAATATATTTATATCTCATTGGTTTTGCAGTGGAGAAACCCCTACGGCCACACAATGGGAAACAGACATCTGTGGACAAGGGCCTGAGGGAGAGATGGGAGCCTTCTATCCATCTGGATGGAAGACCTGTGGACCGGTTTGTCATCAGCTCCAACAAACACACGAGGTCTCACCACTTCACTAAAGTGGGCAAGGACAGTCGCTCTCATCTATTGGAGGATGTAGGTAAGACAGAAACAGAGGAAGAGTTCAAATGACAAGGTGACAGTAAAATTAGGACGTGAGGTGGCAAGATGTGATGGCTGCACAGATTAAGTGGCATGAACAAACTAAGTGGAAATGAATGAGAACGTGTTTCTGAGGGACCTGTGGAGTGCTGCTAGACAACCGCTAGACAAAAAGTCACTCAGAACAAAATTAATGGATGGAAAGTGAGAAATAGAAGTTAAATTATAGGGTGAGCTGTCAGATCTCGGAGTTCTGCACTTTGTCAAGACACGTGCCAAGAATGAGTAGGGGATAAGCAAAGATGTGTACAAAGCAGAGATTTTTTGGGATTAACAAATTCTATGGTAATTCCTAAACCTGCCATATAAAACAGGTCATTATGTTTCAGCGCAAATACAGTTTGCAGTTCTGACACAGTCCAACCTGCTTTTGTCATTATTCCATTTTTCTCTGTCCTTGGCATCTTAGAGGCACATTTCATCAGCAGCTCAAACCCTGCAGCCAACCCTTCTTTTCCAAATCCACACCAGTCCAACTCCTACAGCCAAATCTGCTGTGTTATGGCCATGCAAAATATGTGTTTATGGTAGTGCTTGTGGCAGAGGATAGGGAGGTATCATGTGATGAATCATTCATTGTCTCATACTGCATTCAAATAAGCATCTAACGGTGCCTTTGTGTGTGCCAACCTGTGTGCACTGTGGCAGCCGTGTGGTCTCTCCAGCTCTGTGGTCTCTCTGGTGCAGTTTGCCATAAATCTCTGTAAACCCAACTGCGTCTCAATGTTGCCTTTCCAGAAATTCCTTGCAGGTTGTGTGTTCCCTCAGCAGCATGAGAGCACCATCAGTCATCATAAATAACACAACGCTGTTAGCCTCTGCTTATTAATGGGCTTGGCCAGCTGCTGTTAGAGCAACAGAAGTGGAGAGATGACTTATTATGAGCAACAGGGAGCAAGATGGAAACGCCCAGTTTTCTCACAGAGTAGAAATCATGTACATTTAACCCCCCCCCTTACCCAGAAAATTAAGAAATAAAGATACATTTCCACCTGAAAATGTCTTCATCAGGCAGAGAATATCTGGTAAATCTGCATGTTCCTTTTTAAATTAATAACATTTAATGGTTGCTTACTAGTTTCCATTGGCAGCATCATTTAACCTCAAATCCTGTGTCTTTTTAGACCCTGACTGGCTTAACTTGGATGGCTTTGCTGTCTTGGGCGGTGCACCTGTCAGCAACTCATCAGCAGGTAAACTTGATTTCAGGGCATCTTTACCAACACATGGAAGTGGTGTGCCACAGTTAACAGCCATATGTTAAAGTATGTGTTTAAATACATTAGAAGTGGTTTGTTGAAATTTCCTGCTGTCATCGTGGATATAAAATGACATCAGTGAATCCAATGAGGTAATGATTCACAATACCATGTCTTGGGGCAATGGGCTCCTCTTTCTTCATTCCATTCCATTTGTTCTGTTTCTATGGCATCGGTGGGGAAAACACTCGCTCATCTCTGACTCATAGATTCCCATCTATTTAGCCAGAGATGTTTTCCTTGCTGGTGACCCACATTTAACATCTATTTTATAGTTTTGTTGGCTGTAATGGTATCCACCACATTAATTATCACTAATTTTCCTGTCACCATTTTCAACACACTGTAAAATCAATGGAAATTAATATTAGATGGGTAGGATTTTTTATAAGATGATTGCCAGATTATCCACACCTTGATTGATTAAAGTGTACTGTGGATGTATTTATGAGTCTACATTTGATAAAGTGAAACAATACCAATACTATCAACCCTTGCCAAAAATAGATGAGTAATTAATAGTCAATAATTTATCAGGAAAATCCTAAAGATTTTCTGTTTTCTAATTGTCCGATGTGCAGATGTTTAGATTTAATACCCTTGTACTTTGACTTGTTGGATAGCCACAACAGCAGCACAGTGGTGCAGTGGTTTGCACTGTCACCTCGCACTGAGAAGGTCCTGTGCTCGAGCCTGAGGTTGCATGTTCTTCCCATACCTGTCTGGGTTTTCCAAAGACATGCAGATACTCAATAATAAGTAGGTATGGTGGACCAATGAGGGATCTTCTGTAATATTTATGGGCTAAATCATCAAATGATAAATTAGTAATGAGACTATTCATGATGTAGTCCTAATATTTGTCTAACTTTTTTATACTAAAGGAGATGTTTTCTCATACAGCATGCTCATCTTAAAGTCAAGCACACTGTAAAGGAAGAAAGAAAATATAGAGCTTAAGACCAGGCCTTTAATAAATTACATTTCTTCTTTATTTCTGTGCAGTGTCATCGGGAATTTGGACATTTAAGTATATGTCATGTAAACAATCACCACCCTATTACAGGGCTAACACAAACAAATAGGTCATACTGTTTCTGTGAACAAAGGTTTCTCCAGACCACTTGACTTGGCAGGGAACATGGACAAAACCCATTTAAATTCCACACTGAAATGATCAGGAACAGCAGCTGAACCCAGGACCTTTCTGCTGTGAGGCGACAGTGTAAACCACTGAGCCACCACCCTGCTCTGGACTTTTACTTTTATTTGTTTGAGGCTCTTCTCTGGAGACACAGCTAATCATATCTGTTGAGCTAAAGTGAATGAAGCCAAAAGAAATACTGTGTTTCTGGTTAAGTAATGTTTGACTAAAGCCCAGTGAAAAGGAAGGGGGAAAGCAAATGCCTAGTTATCTCACTAACTAACTCAAAACTACTAAAAATGCTGTTTTATGTTATCCCTATAGTATCTCTAATTACCAAATTAAGTCTCTGCTGTAACACTGGTTTGTCTGTCTGTTTGGAGGGCATCCTCATATCACCTCTGCTCATCGAGCTTCCAGGAAAAGACAGAAAGGATGTGGCAGAGAAAGCATTGTGGAATCAGCGGTGTAGTGGTCCGCAGCATGATGACTGGGACCCAACTATGCACTGTGACCAGAGAGAGGAAGGAGAGGAAGAAGAAAACAAGGATTAAATCCAAATGGGGATATTTCTGTTTTAAGTTATAGCTAGTATGAAGAGAGACAGTCAAACAGGTATGGATCCAGGGGAGAGACAGTACTGGCAAAGAGTCATCCTCATTCCATATAACTGTCATATTTAACCATAACAATCTTAGTCTAGTTGCCAAAAAAGTACACAGAAATTCTAAACAAGAATATTTTACAATAAATACATAAATAAATTGATAATATAGGCTAGAGGAGATATGTGAGAGCCATTATTGACTAAAGCATGTAATTACTGTGCGGTATTGCATTCAAATGCCTAGTTTGATTTCAATCAAAGAATGGAAAAAATCATGTGGATAACCTCAAAACACTACAAACAGCAAGGAAGATGTGAAAGCACACAAAGCTGAGAGCAGACAAGGATTCAGAAAAAGATTTGGTCATTTACCAACCAAATGTTCAATGCCCTCTAGATCCAAAGGAAAACAAAATCAGTCTGCTGCACTGGGTGAACAAAGGGGAGAATAGAGGCAGAGAGACTTAAAGACGTGAATAGAGTGCTTCAAGTTTACTCGAAACAATCAACCTCTGTTTTCCTGGGAGCTTTTCTAGTGGGTGTTTATCATCCTCTGCACATCCTCACATCTGTGGTTTCCACTACACATACTGTATAGTGTCATGGTGGAACCCTCTAAAACTCTCTCCCTCTCCCTTTTTAAGCATAGCTAATGAAAACGTTTTGGGTGGTTGGGGGTTTTTGAGGTCGCCTCTCATGAAAAACTATTCCCAGTTGGTCTACCCTACCTGTTAGAAGGGGGAAACCATACATCACCACTTTGAATTTAATAAAATCCATTTTGTTATATCAGCTGACTGGTCGTTACTCATCCAGCTTACATGCTGCTATTTTGATGGGGAACAGGTTAGACCGTTTTCATCTGACAGTGATTATGAGAAATGGATAAAGGAGGGATCAATGGAGGAGAGGAAACAAAGATGAAAGAGTGGGAGGGACAGAAGAGTATTTTATATTGCCACTGCTATCGCTCAGCGCTGTAGCCAGATGAGGGGTTGCCTTTTGTTTGAACTGTTTTCCCAAACTGAATCATCACTAGGGTGGGATTAAAGCAGAAATCAGGACACCAAAAGTTGGGTCAGATGACGTGGTGCCTATGCATGTTCCTTTTGTGACAACTGGGCATATTTACAGTCACTGCTGGATGAAAGTGAAATATATTTATCTCGGAGTCATTTTCCATGACAGTTAGAGATTTAGCAAGGCCCTGAAGTCAATTCCAGCAGAGCGCAGATTACGAAAGATCTATGGGGTCATACAGGTAAGATGAGCTGTAGTGAACTCTGAATTTTTTCCCACCCCTCTTACCACCTACCTACAGGTCCAGTCAGGTCCTCACAAACTGCAGGCAGAAATCAGCCCTTTGTACAGCGTGCCATCAGGGTGGACAGAACAGCTCATCCATTGGGCGTGTCTAATACCAGGGCGCACAGGAGGGCACCTCAATCCTCCTCCGGTCCCAGGCAGCCCGAGAGAGCGTTGGCAGGAACCCCCCCGCTGGAAAGGAGACGGCAACACCACACCAAGCCTCAGTCGGACCAGAGGAACCGAAACATGCCCAAACTAAGTAAGAGGACCCCCATCTTACAGTCTTAATCACAACATTAAAGGAGCAAAGTTTCAGGTTTTAGACAAAAATTATGCTGAAGGAGGGATGTGAACATGATATAACTGTGTAGATGTCATCAGGAGCACCTCTAAACTCTAAACTAAATAGTTCTGAGTTAGTACATCATTACCACATTGATTTGAATGTATTACTGTAGCATAATTATTGAAAATAAGACCAGCAGGGTAAAGGCTGGCAGCATGTAGACCACATTTTGATCCAATTTTTTGCTTGGTTTTTATTTTCAGTCTTTAATGAAAATTTAGATTTTGTTTGTACTATCTTTAGTGTCCATAGTGTAAACCCTGGCCATGCCTGGTATCCCTTTCTATTCATAGCATCTGAGTCCGTTCATGTGGTGTCACTGCAGGCACAGAAAGCCCAGGTCCAGAATGTACCCGCCAACAGAGCAATCACAATCAAAGCAACCACACCAGGTACCTGCAGACTTATAGAGAATCACGGCATTCATCTACAGTAGAGTCCTCATTTACCTGTCTTTGCACTGTAAATATACTGTGCTGCACTGTAAAATAGCCCATCAGAATTCATTTAAGTAGAACAGCTGAATTCAATGATAGAGGTGATTTTAATAGTGGTTTCTAGTTAGATATTTTGTTTCTATGTCCTTGTGTATGTTTGTGTGTTGTCCAGAACCACCAGAGTATGAGGCCCAGGACATCAGTGTCAGGGTCATATCTCCTCAGTCAGTCCTCATATCTTGGGTTGACCCTGCTGTCGAGATGGGGAAAGTTGCCCCTGAGACATCCAGGTGGGATCTGTTCACTGTGTGTATGTGTGTCTGTTAATGACACAGAAAAAGAATTTATGACAACAGGAGAATAACCCCACTATAATAAAACACCCTAATTTTCTCTTAACATAGATTCTATACAGTCAGGTACAGGGAGAAGGGTGAGTCAGCACGTTGGGAATACAAGGACAGCGCCCAGAGGAGAGTGATGATAGACTCCCTGTCTGCTGACGGCATGTACGAGTTCTCCATCAGAATTTCTCAGGGAGAAAATCATGGGAAGTGGAGCGTCTCCGTCTTTCAGAGGACCCCCGAGTCAGGTAGCTGTTACCACCATCAATGATGAGAATTGCTTATAAAAGGTAATAGTATAGTTGGTAATTTAGCTGAAGGATAATGATGGAAAGTGACTTTTGAGAGCAGTAACTATAGCAAACCAGAGCCCTGCATTTTGTCTAAAAGAGAAATTATTCTTACAAAATAACACCAGTCTTGCATAACCTTGTTTGTTAGCTGTTTTTTTGTTGTTTCCTCACACCACACTTCATCAAATTCACCAGCTGTTACCCCCATTTAATATTTGATTCTAGCCTTGGCTGCAGCTCTGACACGACTCCAGTTTTTACACCAGTTGAGCCGCACTTCCTAATAGTGTCAGCAATAACTGTCTGTCTCACAGGTCAGATCTTCATCTGCACTTCCATATAGGATCTCAAATGTTGGTTCTTGACAGTGAATGGCAGCAATATTTTCCTCAGCTGAAGCCTCCTGGCGCAAATGTTCTTGCTTTTATATTGTTTTGGCAGCAATTTCCTCACCCTGTTCCCTTTGTACTGCTTCTGGTTTCTGCTACTCCTCCTTTCATGGCTGTCTTTCCATTGACTTGTGCTTTCCTCACTTGCCAGCACCATCTGGGCCACCAGAGAACTTTGAGGTGAAGCCGCTACGAGGGAAAGGAACTGCTGTTACAGCAACATGGGATCCACCTGAAGAACCCAATGGGAGGATAAGAGGTCAGACCTAGGGGGGTGGAGGTCAATCTGATAATAAATGTAGTGTTGCTGTTTCACATGAGGACTTTCTGCCATTCTAGTGCCCCTTACATTAGTGTTCTCCAGTGCCCATGAATTTTTTCAACTGACAGTTTTGGTACTGTAATTTGATTGCTGCAATGTCCATATGGATGGGCACTAAACATAATTTGCAATATGCAAGGAGGCTGATGTTGTCAGCTGTTGCTTAGTCACATCTTTGATTTGAGAACTCCCTAAATTAGTCAGTATGTTAGTTACTCTTTGTCATGATTCAAGTCACTGGGTAATGTATAGTGTTGAAGCCACAGGACTATTTGATGCTGTGAGTTTTGTACAGTAAATAGCACAGAGTACCGTGCCAGTGGCTTAGAATGTGCTGAAAAAACATCAACAGAAAGTAACAACTAATGGGAATTAGTGCTAACATTAGCAAGTTTGGTTATTCAACCTCTAGTTTTCAGGCTTGCTGGATCCTCCCAAATGTTGAATGTTGTAAAGTGTTATGGTAGCCCCCCTCACCAGGAGGGTGAGGGAGGACTGAGGTTGGACTCAAGTGTGCAGACCCAGGTGCTAGGGGGAAAAAACATGACGGTAGCAGGTAAAGAAAGAGAACACAAAGTATCAAAAGAACATAACATGGGAAGGTACGGTACTTGGATATGTATAATATGTAGTGTAGTGTAGTGTAAATTAGCGTAGCGCGTAGGTAGTGTGTTTGAGTCAAGCCAAAACGCACAGTGTCTGTCAGCGTAGCATTCTACCAACATGTACAGTCCACGTTACTATGTTAATGTTCCAGCCCAAACTTGAGCGTCTGTCAGCGGTATAAATAAGGAGGAGAAGGTAATCATCGGGATGCACCCCAGCTGTGTGCATCGACAAACCAGTCGCTAATTACTGGAATGCAACACAGCTGAGGTGCAGAGCCCACAGGATAGAGAGAGCAGAGGAGAGAAAGACGGAGGAGAGGCAGCGGCCACCGAGCGGCCCTGACATAAAGGGACAGATGTCCTTCTTGCTGTGTAGACAGGACAAAAAATTCTATGCATTTCTGAATTAGGGTTTTCAAGGGCTTTTCAGGAAATTTTCTTGTGAATGGTCTCACCACATCACCTGCAACAACTGTTCATGCTCTACCTCCAAATAGATTACATCCTGTCCTACGCTCCTGCTATGAAACCATTTGGAATGAAAAGTGTGACATACCGTGGCAGCACCACCACAGCCATCATAGATGGCCTCACACCAGGAGACCGTTACATCTTCAAGATTAGAGCCACCAACAGGAGGGGACAGGGACCACAGAGCAAGGCCTTAACTGTTGTCATGCCAGGATGTAAGGACTCTGACTATATTTCCAAGCATGTGTATATAAACTTTGTTTTATTCTAAATGCAATGTTTGTCCATTGCCAGCCAGCCGTACTGCCTCATCGTTCTCAAAAACCAAGGACAGCCACAGGACTAGCCACACTCCTTCCAAACAGGATACCGACCATGATGAATCCAACCTGCAGACAACAGAGGCGCCAGATGAACTAACCACACCTTCTCAGCTGCACCCTGTTGCACCTGTCAACAGGCGTGTACGCCCACTTTCCCAGACACGCTCCTATCACAGCATCTTCTCCTCAGTAAGAGGCTCAGTCAGAAATGTGGTCAACAGAGGTTCATCAAGACAAAAAGCACAAGATATGGAAGATGAGGAGGAGGAAGAAGAGAAGATATTTACAACACCACCTCCAGCAGAAGAAACAACAACCATGGAAGTTGCACCAGAGACAAAAGAGCCAGACAACAATGTTTCCCCTGAATCTGAGGATGAAGTTGGGTATGAGGAGGATCCCATGACAACCATGACCCCCAGCATCAAAGTTTTGATACCTTCCCAAATCAAACCAGCTTCTAGTCATCCCAATTCACAGCCCAGAAGACCCATTAAGATCAGGCTCCATCAAAAATCAGGATCCAAGGAGGCATCCTCATCCTCATCTTCTTTTCCCTCTACTTCATCTTCATCCTCTTCATCCCCACATATTCAAGAATCAGCAGGCCATAGGAAGGACCATGTAACTTCTACATACCCAGAGAGCAAAAACACCAATGATAAGTCCAGCATAACAGATAACAAACCCCTCATTCCAACTGTGAAACAGACCCATTCACAGCAGACAGATGTTACACCTGTAAGTAGAGGTTCTGCTTTAGCAGGGCGCACCACTGGGTCTGGTTTTGGTTCCAGATATGGCCATGGCCGAAGACATCCTGGAATTTTGTTTAGAGGAAATTCAACCCAAATAATGAATGGTTACAAACCTGCCATCACCTCACAGTCAAATTTACCAGGCAGAACTCCAAACCAAGCAACATCACAGTCCACTTCACCAGACAGGATTCAAAACCATAAAACGTCACATGTCTTCAATTCTGCTATATCTAGGTCCACTTCAGGAAGTCCTCCTAACAACCAAGCAACATCAGATACAGTTTCTTCTGACAGATCACAGTCCACTTCAGAGTCTAGGTCTCATGGCTCTACTTTGCGCAGCTCAGGAACCAATCCTTCTACCTCACAGAGTGGTTCACGACACTCATCCAGCACAGACACATCAGGCTCTTCTCAGTCAACTTCACACAGAGGCTCTCACATCTCTGCAAGTTCCCATGGCACATCACCTGAACGAGACACGACATACAGGGATAGAAATGATGACAGTACAAACAAAAACATAGATGAAGAAGTAACCAAATTTGAGGAGCCTACTTCAAGCTCTAAGACACAAACTACAGAGGAGAAGAAAAGGGAAGAAGAGGGAGGGGAAGAGACCACCAATGAAAACCCGGTGGTTTCTCGTACCAAAATTAGCTCCACATTTCCAGAAAGATTCCCTTGGCCAGCTAGTCGTTACCCAAACAGGTTTAGTTCAGGGACGAGAGCATCATCTTCCAGGCTGGATGCTAAGACCCCCTGGACATGGTCATCATCCTCTGTAGGGGCCAGCAGACCCATCTTGAGGGGTGCTACAGGAGTGTCTTCAATACAGGAAACCAGTGAAAGTCAAAGGACTCCTTCCACTCTTGACCCACTAAAGAATGGGGTAGGAGTGGGCTCAGTTAAACCTTTGTTGACCAGTCAAAATACAGCATCTAGTGACACGAGAAACCCAGCTACCTCCTCCTCTTCTTCATCAGCTTCCTCTGCATCCACTTCTTCAAGTGATAATGTTAAGGATTATGTTGATGAGAGCAGTACAGAAATCAGTGGAAAAAATGATAAAGATGCAGACCCCACAGTGTCCAAAAATAACCCAGCTGTTTCTTCAGCTGACCTTCATAGAAATACAGAAGACAATGAGAGTGTGGATACAAGGGAAACATCATCCAGGACCAGGCCTGGCACATTCTCTGGACTCACTCCAACTCATCGTCGTCCAAGTGTAGGGGTCAGTGGGAGAGTGCGCTCTCCTCTGCTGGCTAACAGGCAGTTTGGTGGGTCTAGGGTTCCCATCCGACCACAGCCAGCACAGAACCCTAGGCTGGGTTCTTCTACATCTGATTCATTCTCGTCATCGTCTGAGTCTTCTTCTTCATCAACCTTGCCCCAGACAGTGTTGACCTCTGATCGTAACTTTGGCACTGGCATTGCTAGGACAGGGGGATTAACTGGAGGCAGCTCCCAGTCTACATCGTCAGTTTCATTGTCTTCATCAAGAGACAGCATTAGGGGCCAAGGGGGTAGGTCTCGGTACCCTGTCCTCAGAGGGAAACCAACAAACGGAGGTGCACTCAAAACTGGAAACGGTAAAGTGAATTATATTACTCAGAAGATCCAAAGATTTACTTGGCCATCAAAAGCTAAATAAATGATAAATAATAGGTAAATAAAATAACTTTGCTTTCATCATACAATCATTTAGGAAAAAATGGACGGCCCAACCTGACAGCTGCAAATGATAAAGAGTCCTCTTCCTCTCATGGAACCAGCAAAGCTGTTGGTCAGAGGTTTATCACTGGACCTGATGGGAGCAAATGGGTAACTAAGTTTTATGAATGTATTGTAATCATAGTTGTAATCTTAGATTGTGATGAATATTATTCTTAAAATAAATCTTTGCTCTAAAGTACATGCAGTCAATAAAAATGTGCTTTGAGGCAGATAAGGTCTCTAAGTTCTTTCTTCCTTTGTTGGCATGCTATAGTTGGTAGACTTGGAGCTGGGGATTCTTATGAATCAGGATGGACAAGTTCTCCAAGACTCCCAGGGCAAACCCAAGAGAGTGGTGCTTGGCGAGGATGGGCGCACAATATTTGGTGATATGATTCAGTCAGTCTTATATTAAAGTTAAATAAACATAGCTTGAATATGTAGATTTAAAAAGTACTTTAATTGATTCTGTACTACATTTGTTGCACAAATGTTATAGAATATTTGCCCACTGTCAATATTTTACATGTAAGTTAGCCAACACTAATTTTACACATCAGTATTTGGTTATATAAATGTGGTGCACAGTTGGTTTCTTTTCCATCCAAGACAAAGTCAGGAATATTCAGTTTCCTTTTCTCCTCGCTCTACCCCTTCACTGACTACCAGACCACATGGGCAGTCCACTGTTAAACCAGGAAGGTTTGGCTTTGTTCGGCCACAGCAGAGATAGTCAGCCTGTGGTTAATCCCAAAGACAAGGTGCTCATGGTTGGAGGGAAACCTCTACTTGGTTTGGACTTGCCCCACCTCAGGACCACCACCACCACCACCATGGCTCCTACCACCACACCTGAACCCACCACCACTGAATGGACCACAGAAGAGTGGACCACTGCACTGATATACCCAACCTGTCCACCTGGTACCTTCTCCAAAAAAGATGAATATGGGTATCCAGTACTGGACCCAGAAGGAATACTGGACTGTTATCCAGAAGGTGAGTCTTTGACATGAAATCCATAGTACACTGAAGATGGCATCATAAAATTTATATAGGGAGTCTCTACTAGTGAATCTCTCAGCTGTATTGTTTGTCATATCCATGAGTGTTTCCTCTTTGTACCTGCAGACTCCTGTAACTCTAACTGTGTGTGTGTGTGTGTGTGTGTGTGTGTGTGTGTAGATGTGTATATGCATGTGAGACCACATCAACCACATGAAAGTGTCCACATCTGTGGTCTGGCAGTGGTGAGCGTACTGCTGGTTTAAAGACAATGCGAGCTGTCAGTCGCACACTGCCATTAGTGGTATAATGTAAAGATAATAACTGAAACACAATCATAGACATGCATGAACACACAAATTGTGGGCATTAGCCTATATTTATTACAGCACACATGGAATGGAATTTCAAAATAATGAAACTAAACCATGTCTGTAGATGAGATTTATAAACAAAATAGAAAAAGTAAAATCAAATAGAAAATATCATTGAAGTAATATTTGATTTCTAAAAATACCCCAGATACATACACAAATGTTTTGTTATGAAGAGTCAGCTTTCTCACTGAAACAAAATAATGTGACAAAGATTTTCTTCCCACCTTTGCAGCTCTGTACTGTGCTATGAGGTGTCCGTTATTAGTGCAGCAGGGGCACATATAACCTCATATCCAACACACCCAGCTAACTCAGACTGCTGGAGAGACATTTCCTTGTAAAATCTAGAATAGAGAAAGCAAGGCCAGCGGGGATTTTACGGTACTTGTCACTGAGTTATTAGACACTTGAGTGAAATCCAGCCAGGGTTACTTGTGTCAAAATATGTATTAGTGCTCGAACCTGCAGTATGTGTTCAAGTAGGTTTGTGATGTGTGGGTGTACATGTTTGTGTGTGCGTGCCTGTTTGGAAATGAGAACACAGCCATGTGAAGCTTATGCCACAGCTTGTTCTACTTCTCTGGCAGAGGAATTCTAAGGATTGGAAATAGACTACAGTGTGCACTGTATTGTTACACTGACCATGGTGCCTGATGCTTTAGCTCTTTGGAAAGGTAATGGCTGAGTTTGGCTTTGGACCAGCTGTCTCCACTGGGCTGAGACAGACTAAATCGCACGGTGTGGTTGTTGTTTTTTGACTGTTTGTTGTCTGTTTTTCTGTCAGTGGATCTGTTTTCTAGCTCTGCCCTCTTCCTCCTCTTTGCCTTGCATGTGGTCTTCACTTTGTTTCTCTTTTTGTATGTTTGTTTGGCTTGGTTTTGGTTCATCACAGGGTTTTGGATATTTTTCACTCTGGATTGTTTTTAATCACTTTGATTCCCAGAAGCAGGACCCATACTGCATGTGAACTGCATTACTAAGCAGAAGAGAATGCACTGGCTTATGATTTAATGCAGTGTATTTATTGTACATAATGTTGCTTTGTAATGTAATAGATTAACCCCAGCTTCAGCTACACACCAGCTAACTAGAAAACTGCAGTGCTGAGTTAGATGATTTGCACTTTGCTGTTCAGCTGTTTGGATGGGTAAAGAAATCTCTTGCATATGAGCATCATTTTATATTTTCTTTCTTTTTTTGGTTTTGCTAGAAAATTCACTTTGAGCGTTACAATATTTTCATAGCATGTCCCTGCCACAGCTCAAAGCCGTTTGCATGCGTGTGGACCAGGATGTAATGCCAAGGTCCACTGGTGCAGCACAGGGTGGAAAAAAGGAAGGAACTAGTGAATTTCACCCTCTAAATTAATTCACACTTGTCAACCTTGGTCACTTGTGAAATGGCTCACATGGAAAATATGGGTAGCAAAACATTACATAACAGTGCAGCTTTGGGTGTTGGATTTTTTTGAAGCGAGTTCACGCATCTGCCCCCAGTTAATAAAATCTCTTTGACATTCCTGTTACACAGCTCATGGTGAGAATTACAAGTGATTAATAAAACACAGCAGCATATTTTTGAGTAAGTATCATCTATTTTAATCAAAAGCTCACTGACACATGTGTTGTTGCTAGATAATCTTTTTGTCCAGACCACCATGCTGCCACCCACCACTACCACTACCACCACCACAACTACAACAACCACCACCACCACCACCACAGAGATTCCGACTCCAGAGCCACACATCAGACCCGTCAACAGAGGCCCCTCATCTGAGTTTGACCTCAGTGGCAAGAAGCGATTCACAGGTACTCAAAGACAGAAATAAATGTGTTTATTAGTGAGTCTATGCTCATGTACGGTCTTTACTCTTGCAGGAATTACTTCCCTCTTCCTCTGTTTGCTGCACAACCTAATATAATCTCTTCTAGAGTTTATCCTTTAGCTTCCTGGGTGAGTCTACCTCACATTTCAGATTCAATATCACATTCCCGTTGTGAGTGATGTATCTTTTTTAAAAGGAACATAACCACCGGAGAAAGATACACAGGAAGTTTAAATTCATCTGTATGAAAAATTATCATTCCAGATTCTTCTGAATAGCAAGAGATTATACTTTTTCTAACAAGAAAAACACTAACTTTCTTAATGGCATAATAAATAGAATATACAGTATCTTTACCTAAGAAAGTCAAAGAACATAACTGGCCGTGCGTGCTTGGCTTCCAGTATCACATCTTGTTTATGTCTACAGTATGTTTATGAGTGTGCATGTATGTGTTGAAGGGCTCTCTGTGCTGTAAATAATGATAGGCTGGTGGAAGTTCTGTTGTGTTTTGTGGAGGAGTAATAAATCTGGACCTCTATCTTGGCTTTCTCAGAAATGGCTCAAAAATAAATGACCCTGTCAGGCTTTAGAGTAGTAATTGGCCAAGATAAAGAAAACTCAACAAACACTGCTTCAGTGGAAATAATTGTTTTTCCATTTATCCATATCAATATGTCAGTAAAACAGTAGAGCAGAGATATCCTGACTTTTAGACTTTAAGATGGGATGTGCTCCAAAGACAGTTGATACTACCCTTCCCATAAGGCAACAAAGGCCACAACATGGCAAATGTCCCATAAGTAATTTTCACAGCTCCTCAAGGGCCACAGAAAGCATTCTGGCTATGTAACACTTCCCATGACAAGCAAATGAACTTTGACATTTAAAATTGGTGGAGTTCCCCTTTAATTTTGAATGGCGATGAGGCAGCTACTTTAGAGCCATGTGGTTATTGTAAAATAATGCACAGATTCTGGCCTGTCAGAATCAAAGGTTATCACTGTGGATGGGAATGAGCCCCTTCAATGTGAGCCTGACTAATGATTTGGATAAAACCTTGAGTAATGGTTCCACCATTGACTGTAGTATCAGAACAATGATTTTCATTGGCTACAGAAACAACAGTGGAACGATAACACGGCTTATTCTGGACACCATCTATGTTGGTAATCGTTGACTTTCTTATAATCCTCCATCTGAAAAAGCCATTACTCTCCCATGTTCTAAGTTAAAAACAGACACAAGCAGAGGAGCAGTGAAAATCATTAACGTTTAATATGCTGACCTCAGCACAGAGACAGAAGAGTCTGTTGGCTCGATCTGGAGACATCCTCTTTTCTGTTTTTTTATTATATTTTAGGTCCAATTCAGCAGCCTACCAGTCTGACATGTTTTACATGAACTGTCTGACAGAGACTTCCTCTTTGTCTCCTTATCTGTCCAGGTTTGGTTTGGTTTGAATTAATCAACCCAAGGCAGACATGGGACAGAAAGCATTAACTAATAATTCTTCACAATTGCGTGAATTTGCCTCAGAGTGGGTTCCAGATGGATAGAGTTGTCCTGACACTGTTTCACTGTGACTTTTCATCCACCTCAGGCTCACAGATGCCAGTTTTTGTCTGTGTTTTGGTTTTTCGACAACCAGAAGAAGACAACATATCTCTGTAGGGACATGCTTTTAGTTATAAAAGTGAACACAAAGCAAAACACCAGAATCTTCCACATGGATGACTATGCATAGATCCTGCTCATGTGGATTTTATATAGAAATACTGCCATATGAGCACACTGTGTACAGACAGAGATATAAATCTGCTCACCATGATGACATATCATGTATTTCACTGTATGAATGTGAACTACATAGGCCATATTATTGCATCTAGAAATAGATTTGGAGCTTGTTACAGTCTAAACCCATACAGACTGTGTTGATGTGTAAATACTGACTCTTAGCCTGTGCACTGGGCCAATCATCTGGGGAGGTGGGAGCAACTCCAGGCTCCAGTGGTTCCCTCCAAATCCCAATCAGAGTAGGAACTGTGGGATATCTGAAGTACCCATAGCTGTAGGTCCAGCTCACATTTATAGAATCATTGAAACCAAATGCACAAAAGAAGGGGGCATAGGGGTGGGGGGGATCATGTGAGAGACCAGGCTAACCTCTGATAGTAGCTTTTGAATTCTGAGCTGTAAACACACAAGATTTGTCAACAATACAAGTTAATAGTTGAATTTATTTAAAATATTCAATGTTAGGAAATAACTTCCTAATATTTAGGCTGTAAAATACCTAACTTAATTCCTTACCATCCCTTTTTTTTTAGCTCCCTATGTGAACTACATCCAGAAGGACCCAGGTGCTCCGTGCTCCTTGACGGAGGCTCTGGAGTATCTACAGGTCGACATCCTGGAAGGCCTGATAGAGAAGGACAGACGTTTTGCAGCCAAGCAGAGCCAGCCTCCCAAAAGCAAGCCCCATAACATCACTGTGGTCGCCATGGAGGGCTGCCATTCGTTTATCATCCTGGACTGGGCCCGCCCACTGAAAGATGATATGGTGTCAGGTAAGAAGTGTTGTTTCACGAAAGCATGAAGTTGAACCTGATTAAAAATGAGTCTTTGTTTAATTAATCTTTGCTAAGCGATCGGTATATAACTCCTTGGTGTTTGTTTTGACTTAATTGACTGTTTTGCCATTATTTGGTCAAAATGTTCAATATCAAAAAGAAGAAATGAAAGTACAGAGAAATAAATATACAGTAACAGCCCTACTGTATGAGATATGGTGGACTATCAGAGGTAACAGTCTGGCCAGCCAGAGAAGCAGTGTGTTTTCTTTGGCAAGATTATACAAGCTTCTGTTCATGGTGTGTGCTGATCCCTTCTCTGATGAATAAAACAGACAGATATTCTGTACTGTCACTAGTGTTCTCTCCTCAGTTTCTTTCCATTTCTTCTTCTGGATGTTTGCTCTTTACTCACTCACTATCTTGACTCTATCTTTGTTACTTTAATGTGATTTCATACCTAATTTATCTGGACAATTTGTCACCTGGTTGCAATTTTCTCCCATTTAAAGAAAAATGGGAAAGTAATTAGTTTTCAGTACTGTGATGCTGATCACCAGTACTTAACTATACAGGGGGTATGAATGATTCAGGAAAACATTTAAAACTTGTTTCTTGAAGTTGTGTATGATGCCAAAAATTATTTGTATAACTTTTAGTTATACAAACATCTCATATGATTTAATGTGAATTTCCTAATAGAATAGAATATTGTTTCACTCTACAGAAGAATCTGGTATAATCTAACACAAATACTGTAAAACCGGTAGACATTATCTGCAGGTACAATTTACAGACTGACAAGGCACAGTTTTAGTTACTGGGGCGTGTTTGTACGACCTTATCTTATGAATTATGGGTCACAGCTTTCAAAACAAGCAGACTGAAAAAGCTGTTAGCATGTGGATCCAATAAACGAGGGACAATTACGTGAGTTTTAATTTAAAATCCAACTTCTGGTTCGATTTACTGTGACGCATGAGGGCCTTTGTTTCACATTTTTGGGCAGCACATGCATATTATTCATTGAGCATTAGAAGTTTTGCTTTTGGTTCAAATTGACAATTTCTTAGGAAACTGTTTACAGTAATGGATTTCTACCTAAAGTAGGGAACGATCAAGCACAGGGGCAGACGGCAAAGGCAGCACAACTTTATCAAACCTCAGTTTAACAATGTAAAATAGAAATGAATTAAAAAAAAACAAACAAAGTAGCTAATATTTCCCCTGTCAGCAGCCAGCTGTGTTGGTGTGGCTCCAGTAAAAATGAAAACTTCCAAATAGTTTTTATTGACTTTTGGCAGAGATGGTCTCTAAGTGAACAGTCGAGGGCCGTGTGAACTCAGGTTGCTTGTCAGATTCTGAGCGTTAGTCTGTGTGCTTGAGAAGAAGTAAACAGACTAACGCTCAGGAGGACAGTCAGCATGAGCTACAGTAAAAGTCAAAGCTGTACTTTTTCTTCAGAGTTAAATGAGTTTGGGAGACCCCCGCCTCTTATTAAATAACACCATAAAATAAATATGAATATAAACATTCATAGGTCATGTGAGGTGAAGATTGCTGAAGCAAAACACTTTTCCAGGCTTTAGAGAATTTCACATAAATGTAAATACATGGTAGACAGGTCTTTTTATTTCCCTGTGATTCCAGTTTTTGTGCTAAGCTACTGTAAGCCAACCAGCTGTTGGCTGTAGCTTTGCATTTACTACAGAAAGATGAGAGTGGCATTGATTTTCTCATCTAACTCTGCAAAATATAGAATACATGTATTTTTCAAGTAGCATTCTACTGTGTTCATTTGGTGTTGAGCCTCAGCAGTGGCACCTGTAGAAAATATTTAGCTGGGGGCCCAGATGGGGCCGGTGGAAATACTACATCTCTTCATTTAACATAACTCCTGTTGCTGTGAATCAGATTGGACTTGTTCTAACAGCTAATGAGCTCTGGCCTTCATGTTGTATTGTTCCCTCCAGGCTACATGGTCCACAGTGCTTCATATGATGATGTCCTTAACAATAGATGGTCCTCTAGATCCTCCAGTGGGACACACTTGGCTGTGGAGAATCTCAAACCCAACTCTAGGTAACAAACAACCACCTGGTTTGTGCTTACTTTATCGCTGTATGCGCACATGCAACACACCTTCAGCTTTAGTGATTCAAAGCATTTTGTCATGCATGGGAGTCACAGAGAACAAAAGTGATGTCAAACCAGACTGACACAAATCAGAGCAGAGTTATATTGCAATTCTTGTTTAAGAAATCAGAAAATCCTTGGCATAAATCAGTTTGGCTAAATGGAGGTAGATTAAAAACAGATTTGAATCTGCACCAAAATGTGTCTCTGTAGAGACCCTGGAAAAAATCAGTGGAATATAAATACAGCATGTTTTATCTACCATTTAGATAGACATACAGTGACCTCTGTCTCTTTCAGTTGTTAATGTTTGCACATCCTTGTCATACAAGTCATAATTTTCAAATTAAGCACATGAAACATCCAAGAGAGGATGGAAAATGTTCTTGAAGTAATTCCTTTTTTATTCATTCAGGGTTATGTGTTGAAAAAGTGTAAATGGAAAGTGTAAATGTTACCAGTAACATTTATTCTTTTTTTTTTACTTATTGACTAGCTATACATATGTGGTACTAGAGTTTTAATACTCAATAATGTACACAATACTAAATATATTTATGTATCATTTAGTCACTTAACGATAAAAGTTGGATACTCTAAAATAAACTGACTAAAACACAGTAAAGAAGCACTGGCATGCACCAGAAAATAGCTGAATAAACAGCAGACACAAAGGTGAAACTGCCAGCATGCTGCATCTTTTCCACTGTAACAGCGATTGCATCAAACTACTCTAAAAGTCCAGAAGGTCATCCTTCATGTGGTTCTCCAACTAAAAATATATATTTTAGCAATTAATCTTACCATTATCTACTGGAAAACAGCTAGCTAATGTCAGATGTGTGAGCTCATCAGGAACAGAAGTATCATCTTGGCTGGTGGAAGCATGAATCTGTTGAGATGTAATGATAGATGGCTCATCTTGGGCTGTAGGACAAAACACCTGCTACTCCACACAAACACTAGAGCTGCATGCTAGAGAACAGTTTTCCAAGAGGTTGCAAAGAGGATTCCCTTCCCTGGCTGTGGGTTTGTATTCATGACACTGCATCTCCTGCAGTTACTGTTGATCATGGGATGGTTCATAGGACAGTGTTGTCACTTCCTAAGCCAGAAATACTGGGATACAAATTTACA